CCTGGTTCATAATATAATTTGCATTGTAGTGGGGATTTAGAGGGGTCGTTATATCGTGGATCGCGGTGCACGTGCGCCGCGGTCAAAATGACGCCAGTTTTTTAAGTAAAGAAACGGCACGCCGTTAGTTTTAATGGAGCGCGCATTTTTTTTTATATATTAATTACCAACTGACACTTCAGTATATCTAAACCGACACTGCCTCACGTATTATTTTTATATTATCAAATAAAACTGCAGTTATGTCAAAATGATATTGTAGTTGTTGTGAAATGAGACTACGGTGTATATAAAATGAAACTGAATAACATTTCACATATTTGAGTGTATATTGTACAATGAAAATGTAATTATATCAAAATGATCATGTAGTTGTGTTTTAATAAAACTATAGTGTATATAAAATAAAATTAAATAATATTTCACATATTTGAGTCTATAAATATCGAATGAAATTGTAGTTATATAAAAATGAAACTGTAGTTGTGTTGAACTGAAATTGCAGTGTATACAAAATAAAACTGAATAACAAAGTTACTTTTTGCGGAAGGGTGCGGAACGGCGAGAAATGGATGCCACTTCTTTTCATTAAACAAAACGACATCGTTTTGATGCGTGCTGCATAATCGATTATGCACCGCGGTGCACGATATAATTTGCCCATTTAGAGTGCAACTATGGAACTATGAAGTGCGTGTGTAGCAATCTGTTCCATTTGATAAAAGCCTAGCAGATAAAGCCCATCAATGAAGTTTTGTTTATTTTAATATTGAGTTAATTGCATTTTTTATTCTAAACTTATAGAAGGCAATTCACTCTTTCTTTTTTTTTTTTTTATAGATAATTTCACTTTGGTCTTCTTTTTTTTTTTTTTTTTTTTTTTTTATTATTAAATAAAAGAGTTAATTCATTAATCATATAATAAAAAGTTTACAACAAGATCGATGGAATGATAAAACATTCTTACAATTAGACATTGAAACAAATTTTCAATATTACACGAAACTTGAATCTCTGACTGTTTTTTAAGATTGAAGTTGAATTCGTTTGGAGAACCTGAAACTTCTTTGATATTGTTAATGATCTTGCTACCCAAATTTGACTCTATTCGGGCTCTTCTGTCCGTAGACAATATTTCCATTAATCTGAACTGCATATCAAGGTTCAGATCTTTTCCGGTACCTGGGATGAAGCAAACATATTCCATTATCAGATAAATTGTTTCATCTTATGAAAAAGGAACTCGCCAAATAAACGAGAGGAAAACTTGCTAAAGACACGAGAAGAAATAACTCGCAAATGAAACGAGAGGAAATAACTCTAACAAAACAACATATGAAAATCAAATCTAAAACAGCCCAAACAAATTCTAAATACCAAACCACTAACCAATATATATATATATATATATATATATATATATATATATATATATATATATATATATATATATATATATATATATAATAAGAGCCCAAGAGAGTTAGGCGTATAATGGGTAGAAAAAATGGCGGTCAAATTTTTTAATCAAATGAATGGCTCAGATTGATCATATTTTAATTTTTCCTTAAGATTTCCTAATTTATCCTTAATGAATATGATTTTCCGTTAACTTTTCCATTAAATATTATCTTTTCCGTTAATTTCTGTTAGTTCACCGTTAACTTATTGATTTCATTAAGAAAGGTCTTAGGTTCGAACCTCATTCCAATCAAAGTTGACATAATTAGTACTTTATTTTACTCTTATTAAATTAAATAATAATTTAGCAGCTACAACAAAAAATAATACATATGCATTTCTTTAATTTAGAATTATGTGTCTACAATCTCTTTATTCAAAAAAAATTTATTCATTATCAATAAATTAAATAAGAGAAATAATTTCATTAGTTATATTGTATTTATTTTTTTTTTCAATATAAAAATTCTTTACATTCAAATTCATCAATTGATTATATTCGCTACATTTGTCCCTACAATGTCTTAATTAAAAAAAGTTATTCATTATCAATAAATTAATTAAGAGAAATAATTTTATTAGTTATATTGTCTTTATATTTCTCCAATATAAAAATTATTTACATTCAAATTCATCAATTGATTATATTCACTACATTGTCTATTATCTTTTTTTGTGCACTATTTTTTAATTAAATATCAAAGTTATAATACAAAATAATGCTATATATTTATTTACCAAGTATTTTATTAATACCATGAAAAAAATAAAAAATATATATAATTAATAAAGCCAATTATATTTACTACTTGGGGGATTTGTTGACAAAGAGAGTATTCAAATCACACAACAAATTGAAGCAAGAACTATCTCGCAATGTCCTTGTTTGACAATCAGCAGTTAGCGATTAGCGTTAGCGGGTTATATTAGTGAATTTGACCAGTGAATTATATCAACGGTTGGTAAAAAGATATTTGAAAAAAACTGTTTAGATTAACATGTAAAATGACCTAAGGGTATACATATATTTAATCAGGGACAGGGACGGAGGTAGCTTATGGGGAAGGGGGGCCCTGGCCCCCCCCCCCCCCACCCCACCCCTACTTTCACCTTAATTTTTTATATAAATATATATGTATATATTGATATAGTAGGGATAAAATACACTTTTGGCCCCCCTCTATTTTTTTAAAAAAATAATCATTTATATTAAATGAACTCAAAATATATATTAAAGTTCAAATTTATTAAATAAAAAGGAATAAATCAAATAACTAAAGTGACCGTACTATTTTTCTTTATTATCTTATTTTTTTATCAAGATTTTAATAATGAATGGCATCAAGTATACATTTTAATTTAAAAAAATCTCCAAATTTTTCTTTCAAAAAAATCTCCAAATTTGAGATATATGCTTTGATTTTATTAGTTATATATGTTGATGTTGATTAATTAATTAGTGATTTACTGTGCGTTTTAATTATTTATTTACATTTTTAAGATGTACATTTGCTAATTTAAATGATTAGTTTTGAATTGACAAAAATTAATATTGATTATTTAATTCGTCTTCATTTTTGTCTTTATCTCTCAAATTTTTAAATATTCAGTTAACGAGTAAAATGAATATAAGTTAATTATGAAAAAATTTGGTGAAAAAAATAATTGACAAAACTTTTTATTTGATGTTAAGTGACAATCTATATTTAAATAAATGTTGTTGTTATTGTTATTAACTTATTATTATATTTTGTGTTATGTGAAAAATTTCTAAAGTAATGATCGACACCTGTGTCGATCGTACTCATATAATTATGTTTTTATACTTTATTACACATAGTATAATTAGAAATCATTATCAATAATAATCACAATAATTTATGGTATATATAAAGATATGGTGCGATTAATTATAATGTCGACTAACATTGTAAATTTTATCTACTACATCGGCCCCCCCAACTCACGTTTTCTGGCTCCGTCCCTGTATTTAATAATAATAATAATAATAATAATAATAATAATAATAATAATAATAATAATAATAATAATAATTGTTTTAAAAAAATAACAAAATATAATTAAGCCAATCATATTAACTACTTGGGGATTTATTGACAAAAAAAGTATTCAAATCACACAACAAATTGAAGTGTGAAACTATCTCTCAATGTCCTTGTTTGGCAATCAGTCGTTAACTCTTCAATATTAATATATAGGGAAAATTGTAAATAATGCCCCTCTATAATATGTCAATTATCAATGTCACCCCTGAATTATGAGTGGTGTAAATGTTACCCCTCAATTAACAAAACGGTGCACATATAGCCCCTCCCGTAACGGACATGTGGTTCCCCGTTAGTGTACGACACCGTTAAGTCGGAGTAAATATGTAATTTAATTGCTTTTTCCCTCCCTCGCTTCGAAGTACCAGCGAGGGACAGCGGTAGGGAACCACAGGTCCGTTACGGGAGGGGCTATATGTGCACCATTTTGATAATTGAGGGGCAACATTTACACAACTCATAATTTATGGGTGACATTGATAATTAACATATTATAGAGGGGCATTTTTTACAATTTTCTCTAGTATATATTAAATATTTTATGCCCTAATTTTTTTTGCTCTCCCTTATGTCCCGTATTTGGTTTCAACCATACCCATACAATTATATTATTGACAACTATAATCAATCTTGACTATATTATCTTGCATTTGTAAACTTAGAATTGTCTATTTAAATACGCAAATTTAACATTCAATTATCTATGCATGAACAATTCCAATATAATTTTGCCTTGATATACTTTAAAGTACTTATTTAAAAAAAAATAATATTGGGCATTATCCCAATCGCGCAATGCGCGTAAAAAACTAGTGTATATATATATATATATATATATATATATATATATATATATATATATATATATATATATATATAAAGGTAAAGAAGCTTGGATCTGGAGTTGGAGATGACGAAGGACGGTGGTGAAGGAGGAAGAAATGTCGGTGAGGGCCCGGAAGAGATTGTGGCGATGGAAGAGAGGCGGGAAGAGGCCGGCAGCGGAGGAGAGGTCGAAGGATAGGCGATTGAGAGACGGTCGAAGTAAGGGAAAAAACGAGAGGAGGTCGGCGCCGCCTCCACAAAACGAGCGTAGACGGCGGCCAATCAATGGAGGATGAGAGAAACCCCTTGCAGAGAGAATATTAGCTTTGGTATTAATATCATTATGATATAACATTTTTTGTCTCATTAACAAATATTAAAATTTATTAAAATACAAGGGCATCTAAATCTTCAATTATAATTTTTTTAAAAAAATAAATATAAATATAATAAATTGACCCATTTTATTTAAAAAGATTGAAATATTATTATATTCAATGACATTTTAATGATTTTGTTGACTAAAAACAAAGAATGATTATGTCACAATAATATTAAGAGTAAAAGAAAATGTTTTGAAAAAAAAAAATAAATAAAAGTGAACTACTACAGTAGTACCTATAAATTTAAGAAAAAAAAATGGATTACCTTACGAACTGGCAAGTGGCAATTGGCAGACACAGATTTGATCTACAACTCTCCACGTACATGAAACGTGTGAATTCCTGAACCTTCTCGTACTAAGATGAATTCTTTTTTCCGCGCGAATGGCATCTGCTAGCTCGCTCAACGATTTATATCCATTCCATGAGAACATTCAACATCATCCAAAACATCGCAAATCTCACTCAGGTATTTCATCGAACAGTTGGACGGCAAAACCCCGAGACCAGAGTTGATCAACAATGGCGGCTACCGCAAGTGACGAGTTCAGGCTGGTGTCGCCGAGCATCAGCCACGAAGGCAGGTTACCTAGAAAATACACGGATGAAGGTCAAGGTGCGAAGATGAAATTGTCGCCGCCTTTGGAATGGTACAATTTGCCGGAGGGAACGAAGAGCTTGGCGTTAGTGGTGCAGGACATTGATGCGCCCGATCCCGGCTCACCCATTGTGCCGTGGGTGGTTTGGGTGGTGACGAATATTCCCCCGACGCTGAAGGGGTTGCCGGAGGGGTTTTCCGGCAAAGGCGAGGAGTTGGGCGGCGAGTATGCTGAGATTAAGGAAGGGCAGAACGACGAGAAGGTCCCCGGGTGGCGCGTGCCTAAGTTGCCTACGCATGGACATCGGATCGAGTTTCGGCTTTTTGCCCTTGATGATGTGCTCAATCTTGGTAATAAGGTAACCTTAGCTGTACTCATCAACCCACCATCTTTTTATCCATTTTGTTTCAATTAAAGTGTTATTCTTCATATCTAACTATTTTATTGGCCAAGTAAATTGTGATATGATAACATCATTATTCCTTTTCATAAGGAAGTTCATAAGATGTTAAACTGTAAAAAAAATTATTTGGAATTACTCCAAGAAAAAAAAATCTATTCAAATTTGAATATACAATATCTGTCAAATAATTATCAGAACTCTGAAATTTTATTTAGAGTTAATAAGGTCGAAATAATTGCTAGGCATTTTTCGGCGTCCATTTTTTTAATTTTTTAATTTAATAAAAATTTTGGGTGTCCTTTTTTTAATTTTTTTTTTAAATTTTAAACTAAATAATTATGAATTATTAGTACTTTAATATTTAATACTAAAATATTAAGTATTAATTTAAAAAATGAAACAATAGTTAATCAGTCGCCTAGTCCATCGTAACCTAGTCAGCGCTTAGGCGACCGGCCGCTTAGAACACCGATCACGGTGAAAATTTAGATGGTTGGTTTGCACCTAGACGCAATCTTTGCAACTCCGAGAGGATTTAATACTCAATTTGATCCTTGACTATAGTAATTTTTTTTTGGCATAAGTGTCAAATAGGCCCATCTATTACTACGAAGTGCTCAATTCCCACCACGAACTAAATTAAATGTCAAATAGGCCCATCTACCAGCTAAATTTGTTCAATTGGCATTTTTTACAGGTTGTTAGTAGGTTACCTATCTAATTATTAAAAATAAATAAAAAAAATAGAATAAATAAAAATAAAAAAATAAAAAGAAAAAAAGAATATCAGCCTGCTAGTAGGTTTCTTTTTAATTTTTTTTAAATTTTTATTCTATTTATTTATTTATTTATAATTATTAAAAATAAATAAAAAATAGAATTAGAATAAATAAAAATAAAAAAATAAAAAGAAAAAAAGAATATCAGCCTGCTAGTAGGTTTCTTTTTAATTTTTTTTTTTTAAATTTTTATTCTATTTATTTATTTATTTTTAATAATTAGATAGGCAACATGCTAGCAACTTATAAAAAATGCCAATTGAACAAATTTAGCTGGTAGATGGGTCTATTTGACACTTAATTTAGTTTGTGGTGGGAATTGAGCACTTCGCAGTAGTAGATGGGTCTATTTGACACTTGTGCCTTTTTTTTTTTCTTTTTTTTTTATATGTAGTTCTGAATGACTTTTTGTGTGCTTAATTAGGTTCTCGACTTTGATAATTTTACTTAATTAAGTCATATGTTAAACTAACTTAGTAATTTTACATCTATTAATACACAATTTACTCCTCGACTATAATATTTTTACTTAATTTAGTCTTCGACTATAGAGATTTTACACAATTTAATCATCGATTATAGTATTTTTTCTTAATTTAGTCTTTAATTTTAATAACCGATAATTTCAATTGAATAAAATTATCGAAGTTGATATCTAATTAAGCACAAAAAGTCATTTAAAATTAAATTAAAAATAAAACAGTGTACTCAATGACTAAATTGGAGAGCAATTATCGAAGTTGATATCTAATTAAGCACAAAGAGTCATTTAAAATTAAATTAAAAAATAAAACAGTGTACTCAATGACTAAATTGAGTGATAACTCTCCAATTTATATTGGTAGGACCAGATATGACAATAAAAATGACAAAACTAATACTCAAGGGTAAATCTATAACTTGTATTTAAATTTTAAATTATACAAGAAACTATGCATTTAAATTTTATGTTTATTTTATATAATATATTGAATAAATATGAGATTTTGGCAGCCGACAAAGGACAAGCTTTTAGAGGCGGTGGAGGGGCATACGCTTGCAGAAGCGGATTTGATTGCTGAATTCTAAAATGCTTCTACTTTTTAATGGGTTCAAATTACCACTGTTTTACTTTTTCGCTTTTCTTTATTTCTTTAAGAATGTGAAATTAAAGTGCGATATGATAAACACAAAGGGACTATAATGTTTTCTTGTTTAACTTTCTAGTTTTGTATGATATATGTTTGAGTGGTGTTGGTGACTTTCAATAACGTGTTGGATGGGAGTCTGTTCTAGAAATTATGATAACATTCCCATTTTTTCCTCATGCCCCAGAGCACTAAAATGGGAACTGACGTCATTTTGGTCAAAACTGAAATAGGAATTTAATTGATTCCAACCTTATATTGTGGACAAAAATACCAAGATCAGATCCAGTAGATGCCCGTTAAAATTGAGTGTACAATTACAATTTACAAATGATCTTACTAGTTACGGGGTCTGTTCAATTTTTGTTTGATTGTGTAATTTTGAATTTGGAGGGCCAATCACAATTTAAGCCCCTATTGTTTGATTGTGTAATTTTCCATTTGGAGGATCAATCACAATTTAGGCCTGCGCAGGAGTATTACACAAATTATGTTGTGGAAACGTGTTCCCTGAACACAGGGGTAGATCCATAATTTTTATACTACATCAATTTTTTTTTTTTTTTTAAATGTAGATTCATAATTTTGTTTTTGTAGGATTATTATTGGGTATTTCACTACCATACATCCGACATAAACCTTTAAGAAAGACTAGAGATTAGAGAATTTCTGCCTAACAAAAGGTTAATTCTTAGATTAAAAATTGGAGTTAATCATAATTAAGTCACTCATTTTGAAATTTAATTTTCACCCACGCGGGAGGGTTTTTTTTTTTTTTTGGTGAAGTAGAAGCCTTCAGAGAGAGTTTATCTAACCCTTAAATAGGGTGTGTTACATAAGTCGGTCGAAAGAAGATTGGTCAGCCCCGCAGGTGCCTGATTCAGAATAGTAGTACCCCAGTCGATCGTCTGGCCCAGATTAGCTAGCCAGTCAGCACATTTATTTCCTTCCCTTTCAATGTGGGTGAACTGGATTATGTGAAATCTTAAGGTCGATGCAGTCCTTGACTAAGGCTACCATAGTTTCGGATTTCTCGTTTTTGTTCATGATGGCTATAATGGCCGCCGAGTCTATTTCCACCCAAAGTTTGTCGATTCTCATTCTCAGACTGATCCGTAAACCCTCCCTTAGGCCGCACAGCTCAGCCGAGAAGCTATCTGTAGTCCAAATTTTGATAGCAAAACCCTTAATTCAAATACCTCCCTCGTTTCGAATAAGGCTCCCTGCGCTAGCCATAACGGGGTTGTTTTTCCTTGCTTCGTCCGTATTTAGTTTCCTCCATCCTCTTTGCGGTGGAAACCACATAATCAATTTCCAAAGACCATATGATGTCCCCCCATGCTAGGGCTGTGCAAAACCCGTCCAACCCGAACAACCCGTCCGACCCGCCCCCCTGCTTGGCTATCGGAGTGGATACTCGTACCCGACTCTCCTTACCCGATCCGCTATTCAATACGGCGTCGGTTTAGAAGGTTCGGATGGGGTGTACAATTTTGCCAACCAACCCGTCCGACCACCCGAACTATCCTAGGGTTCCCTAAGGCGTTGTATAATACAGCGTCGTTTCATCAATGTATATATACATGCCTTCCACCACTTGGTCTTCATTTTCTCATCCGCGCAGCTGACCTAGGGTTTGAGATCTGAGATCGCATCTCTCATTCTCTCGAGTCTCGACTCTCAACTCTCTGTCTCTCTCACTCTCTCAGTCTCTCACTCTCTCAGAGTCTCAGACTCTCACTCAGTCACTCTCTTAGACTCTCAACTCTCTCAGAGTCTCACTCTCTCAGACTCTCAGTCTCTCAGAGTCTCAGTTCTCTCAAGAGTCAAGAACTCAAGACTCATCACGCATCAGTCATCTCTGATTCTGTAAATCCGTAAGGTAAATCTCTAATCTCTTAATCTCTATTTCTCTAATCTCTAATCTCTTACGGTCTTACTCTCTAATCTGTAATCTCTAAATCTCTAATATCTTAATCTCTATTGTCTAATCTCAGGGTTCTCAGAATCGAAGCGTTGCAATCTCTAATCTCTAATCTCTTACTCTCTATCTCTGAGAGTCTAAGTGGTGGAAGCCGTGGTGATTACTGGTGAATTGGTGATTAGAAGCCCTTGTTCTCCCGAGATTATTTGGGAGAAATCAAGTAAATCGTAAACCCTAGTTTTATAATTTATATATCTTCATTTACAATGAGTCTGTGATGAATATTTGGTGATATATTCATATATTATGCTATTTGTTGGTGGAAGCCTTTTACAAACTGATTTCTAAGTGTTGATTTTGTGAAATCTGGATTTTATGCCATGCAAATTTGTAATCTAACAATCTGAGTTAAAGGCTAAAATGTGAAATCTCCAGTGTGGGAATTTCCATTTATTGGTGGAAGCCCTTAACTCAAATCCAGATAATGATGATCTGGACTGAGTTCCTGAATCTGGATTTGTTTGTATAATTGTATATGTTATTATGTCTATCAGTTTATGGATGTATGACCCTTAATTGGTAATTGTTAAATCTGGAAAAATGATGACACAAACTACTATGTCCATGTGTCTGATTCTGGATATCTTTGTATGTTTAATTGTTTATTATGTAATTTATGTGGTCTCAGTTCTCTCAGTTCTCTGTGACTATCTGAATATCTGATTTTGTTCAATATGTGGAAGTGTAATATGTAATACTTCTATGTATGATTGTATGATGGAAGCTTTAATATGATTGTATGATTTGTAATCTCCCTAAAATGTGGATACTGATGCCCATCTTTATAGATGGAAAGCATCAGTGCAACTGGACACCCTCCAACCTCAACTGATGAGGAGCATGGAGTAGAAGCTCAAGGTACTGAGAGAAATCCTCAGACAAATCCTATGCCTTCTCCTCCTGTTGTTCCTACAAAGAAGAGGAAAGATGTGGAGTCTAGATCTATAGTATGGGATCATTTTGAAAAGATCCGTGCTCCACCTGCTGAAGGTGAAACTGAGGGACCAGTAGTTTAGGGCAAATGCCTTTATTGTGCCAAAATTTATAAATGTGAAAGTAAAAAGCATGGTACTTCCTCTTTGAAAAACCATATGAAGGCCTGCCTAAAAAATCCTCATTGTAAGGACACAAGGCAGTCTCTTCTCACCTTTAATGCCTCTGGAACAGAAGCTTCTGAGGGGGTTTTGGGGACTTGGGTTTTCAACCAAGAGGCTATTAGGAGGGCATTGTGTGAGATGATCATTGTTGATGAACTTCCCTTTAGGATTGTTGAGGGAAATGGCTTTAGGAAATTCATTTTAGTTGCTTGTCCTAGGTTTCAAATCCCTTCTAGGTGGACCATTTCTAGAGACATTTATCAGATTTACCTAGATGAGAGAATAACCCTAAAAAAGTTGTTTAAGGTGAGCACCCAAATGGTCAGCTTGACCACTGATACATGGACCTCTGTCCAAAGGATCAATTACATTTGCATTACTACACATTTCATTGATGATCAGTGGAAGCTAAACAAAAAGATCATTTCCTTTGTCCCAATTTCTTCTCATAAGGGAGAGTACATAGCCAAAGCCCTTGAGAGTTGTCTTCTTGATTGGGGGATTAAAAATGTCTTCACTGTTACTGTTGATAATGCCTCTTCAAATGACACAGCGTTGGGGTTTTTCAAGAACAAACTTCTGTCTTGGGGTGGGTCTTCTGTTAGGGTTCAATATATGCACATGAGGTGCATAGCCCATGTGTTGAACTTAGTGGTCCAGGATGGGTTGAGATATGCAGGTCCTTCTGTTAAGAAAGTTAGAGATGTTGTGAGATGGGTGAGGAGTTCTCCTGCCAGACTTAAGAAGTTTAGAGAGATTGCTGTGCTTAATGGGGTGGAAGCCAAATGTGCATTACAACTTGATGTTCCAACAAGATGGAACAGCACATACATGATGCTTAACACTGCCCTTCAATACCAGAGGGCCTTTGAAGCTTATGAGAATGATGCCTCATTGAATGCTGATTTATCTGATTCTATTCCAAATTTTATGGATTGGCTTTCTGTGCAAAGCTTAGTCCATTTCCTGAAAGGCTTCTATGAGATGACTGTGAGAATATCTGGTTCTCTCTATGTCACTTCAAATACTTTCTTTTCTGAGATTTCTGACTTAGGTTGCATGCTGGATGACATGGTTAACTCTGTTTCAACCTCTGAAAAGGTAAACACTAAACTGTTAACATTTTTCTGAATGTGTTTGTATGCATCTGTTAATTTTTTCTGTGTTATGTCTGTTTTATAGGAAATGGGGTCCCATATGAAACAAAAATTTGAAAAATATTGAGGAGATCCTGAAAAAATGAACTTCTTGATATTCTATGCCAATATTTTGGATCCTAAGGATAAGATTGAGTACATGCCTGCCCAATTTGCCCAGTTGTATGGTGATGAAAAAGGAAAATTTCATGCTTTGAAAATGTTCAATCTTCTATGGTTCTGCTGTTTAATGATTATACAGCCACCTACCATGTGCAGTCTGCATCCCCTACTGTGCAACCTACCCAATCTGAACCTGTCCATTCTCAAACTTCAGTTGGAAAACCTCAGGCTAGAATGAAAAGCCAGCTTAAAAAACAGAGAATGGAGACTGGTGGAAGCAGTAAAGAAATTGAACTCCAGATTTATCTAAGTGAAAAATTAGTGGAAGATGAAGAAAATGTGGACTTTGATGTCCTAAGATGGTGGAAGGTTAACAGTGATAGATTTCCTATACTCTCTAGAATGGCAAAGGATGTGCTGGCTGTTCCCATTTCAACTGTTGCCTTTGAGAGTGCATTCAGTACTAGTGGTAGGGTATTAGATCCCTTTAGGAGTTCCTTAACTCCTAAAATTGTTGAAGCCCTAGTATGTGCACAAGATTGGTTGAGGGCACCCAATCATCCAATCTCTGTTGAGGAAAACTTGGATGATGTTGAAAGATTAGAGAATGGTACCTTTTCTAACTTTTTAGGTTTCAACTTTAGAAATTGTTAATTGTTACCTTTATTCTAAACTATTTTTTGTTTATCCTTTTTGTGCAGAATTGTCCACTGGAGCTGCTGGTTCTTTACCAAGTGCTGTTGGAACACTACCAACAATTGCTGTAATACTTTTATATAACATTGCTTTCTGACTTTCTGTTTAGTTTGATTGATAAATG